CCCCCCCCACCTCTGTACCTGGGAGTGCGCCTGCTCCGCTGTCGCGACTGGCTTCTCTAACAGGGCGCTTCCAGGGCTCAACGCGTCCTAGCCTGGGTCAGGCTTCATTCCTTTTTTTTCACCGAACCATGTCCCATCTTATAGTAGTGTCCTGGGGCCGCGTCTGGCCCCTCGGGTGGCGGAGGGTTGGAAAGCTCAGGGCAGTCTGAGCACCCGCGCACCTGCCCGCACTTCGCGGCGGCGTCAGGCAGCGACGGAGGCGCGGGAACAGCTGCCTTGCTCAGTTGAGTTGGGTGCTGGAGGTCACAGACACCCAGTTCCTTGTTCAGAAGTGCATGTGCTTACGTAGAGGCTGAACTAGTACCGCGTGTTGCACCGTTCATGTATCAGAAATCAAAGGAGAGGAGAAAAGCCTCCTTCCCAGGCCTTCGAGGTCTGCGTGGAACTCCAGCACACTCTCCTTCCTCTCCGTCACGCGCGGCTCACTTGCTGTGTCTTCACAGGACCGTGTTTCCTGGCTACTGACTGCTGGGTTCCACCCGCCCTTGAAGTCTCCGCCCCAGTATCTGCCCGGCTTGGTCTAGTTCTCCGTATTTGCTTTTTTCAGATTCTTGGTACGTGTTTTGGGGAAGGGGTATACTATGAGGAGAGAGGCCAAAACCTCACATGTAATTGAGCTCCAAGGTAATCCTGCCAAGCGGTCCCACACTCCTCTCTCCTTGCACTTCGCTTACCTGAGATCCGATCACCTGCCCGTGTTTAAAATGTACTCTTCAGACTGATTAGAAGGTTCGTATTACGAAGGGAACAGAAAATCAGACTGAATTTTCAAATGCGCACGAGGGAGTTATTGCGTCTATGTAAGTCTCACGTGCCATGAGTGTAAGCACAGGCAGGCAGAAAGTGCAGTGCTAAGAGGTGACAAGGACCTGGTCCATTCTCGCAAGCCTCACTCTCTTAGGGGTACCCCTGCCAGTGATTTGGTATATTTTTAGACATTTCCCAACGTACACAAAGATAGTTAAGCAATAATTCCTTCTTCCCCTTTTTATTTAAGCCAAGGGACCCTATTGTGTACTTTTCTTTTGCAACTTGATTTCTTAATCTGTTTCCTGGAAAACTTTGCAAGCTGCTATTATAATTCAGCTTCATTCTATTGTAATTAAAACATTGGGTTAGCAAATGCCCTTGGTAACAAAATAGCACAGAAGGGCTTAGGCCAAAACAACTGCAGCAAACAGCCCTGCCAGGCCGCCTACTAATCACCACTACCCAGAGGCCGCTGCCTTGAGAGCTCTGCATTCTACTGAGAGACATTCTAATAATATGTCATCAGCCTGTAGTAAAAACCTCTCCAAAATAAACAATTTGCAGCTTCACCCCATATCCAGTAATTCTCTGTCATGAGAGATGAATATTTGGCTCCGTACACCCTTCAAATTCTAAGGTTTGATTGCATTTCTTTAATAAGATTTAAATTTGGGACCAGCAGATGGTGTAACAGTTACATGGCTGGACTCTCACATAGTCCACTGCGAATCCAGTCTCAGACCCGGCGGCTTAAAACTCACGCCAGGAGCCCAAGATCCCGAGAGGAGAAGGGGGGGAGAAGGTATCGTGGTGTGGCCATCCCCCCCGGGGGGGAGGGGGATTTCTCATTTTCTGTCTCTCTCTGTCTCTCTGGCAAGTGCACGCACCCTATAGCAACCGCATGCACCCTATAGCAAAAATCTCTTTCATTGAAAAAAATATAAAAAGATTTTAACTTTAAGATATTCCTAATTGCTCCATCAATTTTTAAACCAACTTATTAAGCTATAATTGACATTACCGTAAAATGGCCCCTTCTTAAGATGACAGCTCAGTGGCTTTAGTTTACTCGCAGAGTTGTGCAACCATCCCACGACCTTGTTCCAGCACGTGTTCCTTGCTCCGCCCCACAAGGACGGCCTACGGCAGCCTCTCCCCACCCCACCTCTGTACCTGGGAGTGCGCCTGCTCCGCTGTCGCGACTGGCTTCTCTAACAGGGCGCTTCCAGGGCTCAACGCGTCCTAGCCTGGGTCAGGCTTCATTCCTTTTTTTTCACCGAACCATGTCCCATCTTATAGTACAGATCTGTCTTTATCCATCATTTATCAATGGGCACCATATTTCCTAGTTTGGGGTGTTGTGAATAGTGCTGGTCTGAGTATTCGTGCCTAAGCTGTTGTGTGGACAAGTGTTTCCAGCTTTCAGTACATATGAGTAGAATCGCGGGGTCTTATGAAAACTCGACAACTAACTGTTCTTTACAGATACTCATTAAACTCAGATTGCTGAACACCCGTGTGCAAAACAGAACCCCTTTCCAACATCGCTTCGCCCTTTCCGCCCTGACAACAGACACCCGGGCGTGTGTACTGGTGTTGCGTGGGGCTCGTACCTGCCTTGCCCGGACGGCTAAGGGTCTTGAACGCCTTTTCACGCCACTGTTGAGTGTTTGTCTATGTTCTTTGAATAAGGGTCTGTTTAGAAACTTAGCCTGTGTTTCAAATTGGGCTGTCGTTTTACTGTGGACTGGCTTTACAGGAGTACTGTCAATTTCTCAGCACGTGGCTCTCAGCGCTTCCTGGATGAGTGATGTGCACACGCTCTCTCGTTATGAGGCGTGTCTTTTCACTTTCTGGAGGTGTTGTTCTTCAAAGCAAAAGAGGTTTTAATTTTGATAAAGTCAAATGATGTATTTTTTCCTTTGACTGCTTGTACCTTTAGTGTCATCTCTATGAAACCACCGACTCATCTAAGACCCTTAAAACGAAATCTCATGTTTCTTTCTGAGAGTTATTCTTACTTAGGCTTAGACCATCTTAGACTGACACGCGTACAGGTGTGAGCAAAGGAGGCTGGTTCACATCCGTGCCAACAGACCGTTCCCAGCACCACGTGTTAAGAACACTATCTCTCCGCAGGAATTGTCTCGGCATCCTTGCTGACAATCAGTTGACCATAAGCGGCTGGTTTATTTCTGGATTCTTAACCCCATTTCACTGGACTGTATGTGACGCTTTTCCAGCTCTTTCCACGATGTACCGCTGGAAGGAAGCTCGTGTGTACAGTCACTCCAGTTCCAGGTTTACATCCGGCCTCTACACTGGGCTTCTCTTACGGACTGAAGTATGTCATTTTCTGGCAACGTAATCAACTTCTCTCCCCGTAAATGGATTAGTGGAGCCCCAGACAGATGAAACTCCAGAGCGTGCTCCAGGGTCCGACTGTTCACGAGGGCAGCTCCCCTTGCTCTTCGCTAGCGGCTGACCACCTGCTCGCGTCACCCCGCCCCCTCCCCTCCGCACGTGTTGAGCTTTTCAGCTGTCTTTCCACGTTTTCTCATAACCAGCCCATGATCTTGGTGCTATCCTAGTCTCTAGCTTACACAGGAGGAAACCAGAGTTTGGTGCTCTTCCAAATTCATTGAAAAGTGAACAAGCAGGCCGGCAGGCAGTGTGGTGGTTGGGACACTGGATTCCCACATGGCTGACCACAGTTCGAATCCCAGATCCCAGGCTTGAAAATCACAACAAATAAACAGATAAATAAATAAATAAATAAATAAATAAATAAATAAATAAATAAATGGAAAAAAAGAAAACTAAACAAGCAGGACCAGCCTGTCTGATTCCGGAGTAGAAATGCATCAGCACTAACCTCCGTGGCTATGGCTTGCAGCTGTCCTGCCCCCTCGTCCCTGCCCTGCTGCGGACCCGCAGGGCAGCGTCACCCTCCTGTGCACCCTCAGCTCCACAGCCATGTGGTAGTCTGCCTTGTCTTTTTCTTCCACAACCCGCCCTCCTGCCCATTAAAGCCTAACTTATGACTTTACAAGTTAGATGAACTTATCTCATGAGAAACCACAGAACGCAGGTCACCTCAGATGGACTTACTAGGGAATCTCAAGGAATGTTCCAAGTTTGTGCGGTTTGCAAACTGGCTTACCCTGTGTGCAGGTACTCTTCCTGCTCGCTCGTTATTTCTGACTCCCTGAAGCTGGCCCCAGCAATACGTCCTCAGAAAGGAAAAGAGGTAAGCATCTAGCGAGCCTCGATGTCCTCTTAACTCCTGGTCAAATGCTGCTAGATTTAAAAGGGATTACAGAAAGCTCAAAGAACATTCTGTTCAGAGATACACACTGCAGGATTCCTGCAGTGATGTTTTCAAGAGCTTCTTTATCAAAAGGAGCGGTATCCACGTCACTTTATAGCACAAGATGATGAGCACAAGAAGCGAGGGTGAGATGAAAATGAGAAAATGAGATGCTGCTGTCACAACAGATCAGCTAGCGGCTTGTTTTAACCCTGAACGTACAAAGTTCCTGAAGTATTAAGAACACCTTCATTAGAGACTGGGAAGAGCACACTCTGAAAAATCAGGAAGCAAAAAAAGAGAAAAGCCCCCAAAGGCAGGCGTCGGGTATGGCAAGGTAGTGTGCGTTTACGGCAGAATAGGCTCATCGGGTCATCGGAAAGTCGTACGCGTTTTTGTATAGAAAGACACATCACGACTTTTCCAATGACTGTGTGTGCGTGTACATATATAGAGTTCTCATACACACACACACACACACACTTTTCTTTTTCTTTTTAGGTTTTTGCTATAGGGTGCTTGCACTCACCAGAGAGAGAGACAGAGACAAAGATAGGGAAAGTGAGACATTACCCCCAGGAGGATGGACATGCCACATACCTTCTCCTCTATCCTTCTCTTGGTACTTTGGGCACTTACACACTCATGTCCCAGCCTGAGTTTCAAGCTACTGGGTGTGAAGCTTGAACTGCAGCCAGCCCTGTGGGAGTCTAGCACCTTAACCACCTGTTGGCACCCAGAATAAGTCATTTAAAAGTGAATTAATGAAAATTGGTTTGATTCATTAATTAAAGCATTGTGGAATTGTGAATACTCAACATTTTCAAGCTATACAAATTATTTTATTAGGTTGACCTATATATAATATTACTTTCGACTCTGGTACAAATGCAGCCCCCACTAAGGAGAGGATTCTGGATCACTGAGAAATCATTCAGCCTATCAGAAAGCTGGAGATATCCCCATTGAAGCTTCATTTCACTTCAAATTTTGAATGGACAAGACTTGGTGTGAGGCTGTGCTGTGTGGACGGCCGTGCTACGGTGACGTGCGCAGATGCAGGTGACACTGTGTCACCTTTTCCCCAGCAGCCAGCTTTGCATGTGAAGGATGCTGGCAGGACCCAAGAGAACAGTCCTCCTCCTTCCATCCAACTGCAGTTGATTCAACTCGACTCACATTTCCTCAAGTGAGAGGGACCCCTGGGTGCTCCCTAAAGCACAGCTCCCCACCCACAGTCCCTGCGGCCAGGGGAGTTGTCCACTTGGGGCAGTCTGGCCCGTTCTTCCAACAAGAGCAGGTTTGTCTTTTCCCTCGTGTGTGAGCTGAGCGTAGTGTCCTGTGTGTGAGTCAGAGAGACTGCTTGGGAGGCTCAGAAGGATCTTGGGATGCTGCTTAGAGAATTTAGAGATTCTTCACAGATGTGAATTCCATCCATCCACCCACCTGTCCACCCATTCACCCATCAACCATCCAGCCACACATCCACCCATCCTCCCACCCATCCACACATCCACCTATCCGCCCATCCACCCACCCATCCACCCACCCACACATCCACACATCCACACATCCACCCACACATCCACACATCCACCCACACATCCACACATCCACTCATCCACACATCCACCTATCCTTCCACCCACCCATCCACACATCCTTCCACCCATCCTTCCACCCATCCACACATCCACACATTCACCCAAACATCCACACATCCAGCCATCCAC